ATTTTCAATTATTCATCTCCCACAGGTAGTCCCTAGCAATATGTTTGGCACGGTTAAATTGTCCACGAAAAATACTAAAACGTGCATTATTTTTGACCGTGCATATTTTTGAAACGCCACTGCCAAGGATCGACCGGGACCACTTTTTTGGCCGGGACCGGAACTGGAGAAAAGTGCCGGGACCAGGATTAAGCCGGGACCGAGAATAAGACTGAGACCAGGAACAAGACCGGGACCGGGAATAAGACCAGGAACAAGACGGGGACCGGGAATACGACCGGGACCGGGATTAGGCCTGGATTGGGACCGGGATCGTAGATAACAAAAATTTTAGTTCTTTCATAATTTCATTCAAATTTCTGATTGTTTCTGAATAGACTCATTGACTCAGTGAAGACAGATTCTAATGAAAATAAATAGCTGAATTACGTATCGACATTTCTACGTCATATTCGTATTCTGAAATAGTATTATTTCAATTATAAAGATCTATGTTCACATTAAAAATTTGACGACGAAATTCTCAAATCATGAGATTCAGTAACAGTAACACTACACGAATCCACAAGATTACAAAAATGTTACTTTCAATATTGTTTACCTGGGGACCCCAGGCTATTATGTTCATAAACATTTGGCGGAATGACAGGCTGAGCGCCGCCCAGTAAAATATTCTTTGATATTATAATGTACTAGAAAACCCGTGGTCACAGGGAGGAACCTACTACTAATACTATTATAGGTGCAGTATTTAAACAATATGCTATTCATGCTTATATGTCATCTATGTCCTGCTACACATGTGGAAGATCCTCCATGGGTCCATCAGCAACGATCTGAAGATTAACTTCACTTCAAGACCTCGAACTGGCAATTGGCATTAAAGCAATTATACCCTCTCTACGAAGGGGTGTTGCTGCTTACCACCAGAGTCTCTATGACAATTTGTTCGCTGTTATTGGTCCACGTCTCTGGAATTGTCTTCCTGGTTACATCAACAGGATGGAAGAATTTGAATCCTTCAAAATACAACTCACATCCTTGCTCCGGCAGATCCCTGACCAGCCTCCGGTCAACAAGGGATACACATCCCTCAATATGCAATACCAACTCCATCCTGGAATGGCGAAAGGATCCTGTAACATCGGAGCTATGGGGCGGTCAAGATAGTTGATGACCCTGTTGCAATGCCCTAAACCCAACAAAAGTAAGTAAGTATCAAGTTGGTTGATCAGTGTATTGGAGTATTGGATTTCTAGAATATTCTACATTTGATTTTAGTAGTGTAAAATAGAGGTTGCCAACCAGACTAGTCCTCCCGGGGCATACCAATGATAAACTTTGCCTGCTCACAAGTACTACGCACTACACACTTGACTTGCTTAGTCGTTTAGCGACTAAAACTAATTACTCACGATAAACAAGTATCGCACACTAGTATAACACTCTAGATACGATATTTAAGTATCGCACGCGTAAATGGAAAGGGTGCAATATCAAGTATTGTACGAATGGGAACTATAATGAAGGTACGGTAATTTGTACCGTAAACGAATAGATTCACAAACCTCTACAAGCAATCCGTGCTGTGATATGACGTGTAATACAATAATGCGAGTATTGCTAACTACTCTAATTTGACTCTTTACATGCAATTTAGTGCTGTAATGCTTTCAATTCGATCGAGTGATTGTAACTTGAATCCTAAGTAAGGGAGGTACAAAGGAAACAGGGTATTTGAACAATAAGTCTCGAAGTGGAATATGCAACTATTTGATCAATGAACTATACTAGCGGCTCGTCGGCCACGCGACAGTGTTTTTCGGCAGCGGTAACTTTTGTAACTGTACATCAAAGCTCCTCGAAAAACTCACTCTAGCGGGGCAGGCGGGCACTAAACAGCATTGCCGCATTGTGTCACGTGATACCACATCGCGAACCACGTCGTGGTGTCGCTCGGCGCAATCTCAAAAATAAATATCCTTAAACTAATGCACCCGACTAACGCGTGTCTTACTCCGCGAAACCATACAAAATCTATTACACTAATCCTACCTAAACTTACACTCAGCTCCAACGGCTTTTCTACACTCAAACTAGAACATTCTAAAAGATCGATTATTACGCTAAAACCCTGCTCACTGCTGTAAACAGCTTATCATATTACACTATTAGCGTATCACATACTACTGATATTTGGTTATCCGTATCTATTAAAGTCCAAGTAGACGTCGTGTTGTGGTTAATCATAGCGACTCTTTACCTAAAATGCAACCGTTTTTACATGTAGAGAGATTTTACTTGTAAAGAGTTCCTGATCTCCAAGAGGAAGGTGGGCTTCCGACAAAGAAAGATTACAAGAATCAGTGCGGACACTGGACAGTGATATCGAGAAAGGAAGAAACAGTGATACTGACGAGTCAGTCAGAGAGATTGGCGATGATGCAGCGACTTGGAACCTACTGACCAACTCCTACGCAGTACTTCAGACGGGCCCGGATCTCCGAACAACGTGGTAAAGAACGAGATTACCAGATAGTTGAAGGACAAGCCCCAGAGACGTAATCCCCTGAAGTTCTGGCGAAAAATAACACTCTGTACCCTATCTGAACCAGCTTGTCTGGACATATCTGTGTCCACCTCCTTTCTCAGTCGCAAGTGAAAGGGCTTTCAAGGTGGCGAAAAACATTGTAGGGGATAGCAGACTGAGCCTCCGGCTGGAAAACTTAAAAATCAACTTGATTATCAAATACAACTGAAGAGCCATAAACTACGAAATATATCAGCTCAAGTTCCCACCTGATTGTTATTGGTTATATTACCATGCCCCGAACAATCTGAACAAAGACGACTCGGACGACGAGAGTATGGTTACAGAGTCTAATGAAGAGGCAGTTAGATTTACTGACGAATCAGATGCCACCCTACATTGCGTAGACTGTAGGGTAGCATACGTTTATTGACAGACTATGACACTACAATCTTGGTATCCTTTAATGATTACAACTTACAAGCACAAACACAAGCACTAGCACAGCTCACCCAACAAACTGGCACTTATCTCTGACAGAGTTTTGTTGATTAATTGGTAAAGGATTTTGCTTTAATCTTCAAGTTTCATTTCATAATTTAACAAAATTAGCAAATAAAACAATTTTAAAACGTATAAAAACCGGGATTTCTGACCCCGGCCGATTTTTGACCAGGATTGGGAATAAGCCGGGATCCCGTCGAACCTGCCAATCATATTTTCATCCGTTTCAACTTTCAATTCACTACGACCAGTATTCAGACTAGCACCTTATTTAATGTTAAGACATAAGAGTCTTTGACTTTACTAATTTTACTTATATTACTACTTACAACAGTCTCGCATGTTTGGAATGTCCCACTAAACAAACAGAATTAGGGGTCTTTTAACATACCACACTGACACGTATTATAGTGGTAGTGGTAGGCACTAGGCACAAGTGACGTTTAGAGTGGAAGAGATTAGGGGATATACAATATAGCTTTTATCATCTTAAACATCCTATTAAAGATAAACATCCTCTTAAACACGAGGCTTTCCAAGAAACTTACAATGTAGATACATGTCACACTCACGTTTGGAGAGGGGAGGGGGAGATATTTTCCAAATTGTTATAGCTGTTCACAGGAGTACAGGGGAAGGGGCAGAGGGTATCGATAGCTATTTGTCTATCTTACTGAAGGAAGCTGGGACGAACTCTAAGAGAAACTGCAAACCCTGATGCAGGACAGGGATTTTATGGAGGGAGTTATCTGGCGTATTTCTGCCTCAGTTCCGACCTTATAGTAGTTATCCCCTTAAAACATCCTCTTAAACTCGAGGGTTTCCAAGAAAATTACTTTCGTGGTACAGTAAGCTTCTAGTGACAGCAAAATGACTTCAGCAAATGAGCAAGGATCACAGACTTAATAATTTCAACCAGTGCAGAAGGTGGGATGAGAGCTTCGATTTCGCAACTTGGTCGCCAACAATAAATTGGACTCTGGTAGCTGGCGGTCAACTCTTAAATTGATCCCTATAATTCTTATTGATGCAAACTGTTTAATCGTTGCCATTTGCCACCATTAAAAAGCTGTTTTTCAGTATGTCAGTGTATAACCACTTAACTCTATAAATCACTCGCCAGGTATTTCTGATTCCGAAAAAACTAGGGTTAAGCTATCCATATCGATAATCGTAACCAATAATATTTATAAAAATTTACTAAAAATTACCGAAAGAAATGCCACAATGAAGTGAAATTTGAAGGAAATATTAGTGGTTTTGCCTCTCTCAGATCAGAGTCTTTTCCAAAGTAATCCACGAAACAGATCCAAACATCTAGTATGATAAAAGGGGCAGTTTACTTGCATGTGAGCTTAAGAGGTTTGTCTGCATTTGTATCCTTATACGTTATGGAGGAACTGCAGAAGTCCAGAAGAGACAATGTTCTCTAATTGAGAAGGGAGCTCCAGGATGTCAACAGGAGTCAGGAATACCGGCATGGCACTCATTTGAATTCCGGAAGTGTTCTGGGGGTTGATACAATGTCCTCATCGGATCTGTTGCCCCAAATTCAAATTGTCAACACGACAAGGAAACGGGTCACTGATGCTCTAATGTTTTCATGAGAGGGTTACCTGAGGACCCCAGGCTATTATGTTCATTAACAATAAAGATTTGGCGGAATGACAGGCTGAGCGCGGCCCAGTAATGAGAGGGTAATATTGGTGCTTTAATTTTACAGAAGAACAGAAGTGGTGCTGAACCAAGTTTACTGGTAGTGGTAAACAGTGATAAAAGTCACCAATTAATTTTAGTGAAATTTGGTAACCGTTTTGGCCTTTTCCTTCATAGGAGAAATTATTGGTTTTATCAGTTTTATCTAAGTAAACCTAAATCATTATCCGCGTCCGTTCATCAAGATAAAAGATTTCATACCATTATTGGATAGTCTAGTTAGGGTTGTGGTCAGAGTTATGGTAACAGGTCAACTGATGAAATTATCTATTAAGTTGCGGAAAAATCTTCCCAATCTGTACATAAAGTGTTGTATAAAATAGGTAAAAAGCCCCGAAAAATTGAAGTTTGGTAATTGCTTTTACAAGGTTGTGGGATGCGTTTTGCACAACTGTGATATAATAACGAGAGCAAATACAATAATAATCCCATTTATAATTTGAGTTTTAAAACTGAATTTTAAATTCGAAGAAAACATTTGTAAAACTACCATAGTTCAAAGTCAAAGCTGCTCTGATAATCATTTTGCTACTAAGTAACCATGGCTTTAAAGCTGTCTGCTATCTAGTTGGATATCATGACTATGTGCTAGTTAGTAACCATGACTCTACTTAGTTAGTAACCATGACTCTGTGCTAGTTAGTAACCATGACTCTATCTTAGTTACTAACAATGACTCTATCTTAATTAGTAACAATAACTCTGTGCTAGTTAGTAACCATGACATAATGACTCTGTACTAGTTAGTAACCATGAAATTATGACTCTATATTAGTTACTAGTTAGTAACCATGACATTATGACTCTATCTTAATTACTAACCATAACTCTGTCTTACTCTTAATTAGTAACCATAACTCTATCTTAGTTCGTAACCATGAAATTATGCCTCTCTGCTAGGAGGAAGAGCGCTTGTCCTCAGGACCTCAACTCCAGAGCGCGTGTTCTCACGGCTGATGAGACCCAGAGCGTGGATTGCTTGCTTAACCCTTTCCTCGGATATAACGCTTCCAAGTTCCCGAATCACATCCGTCAACCCCGACAACCCTTCGTCAACTGAAATGAACAGTCATAGAGGGCGAATACTGTATGATAAAATTATTTGAAGACGATTTATAGGTAGCAAGTTGCCGCTCTGGCTTAGCTTTCCGATAGTTAGGAAAGTGGATGGTATTACTTAAAACCATGTCTTAAATGACGATGAACAAGAATTGTATAACTGAATGAATAAATATTTAAGAATCAACTTCTTTCATACGAGATTTTTCAATAGAGATTGGGACTTGAGACCCTAAAATGTGGTTGAAGAAAGTTTTAATTAGGGTTGATTTAATCGCTCCTATTAAAGTGCAAATTACTTACGGAACTCAGTTCTGGATACAGGGTATGTGTACTTGTGAGTTTCAATCTCAGCAAGCTCCTCAAGTTTCGCCATCATCTGATCTTCAATTGCTACTATCTCCGCTTCAGTCCAGTTAGAAAATGCAGCTGATATGAAGTCCTGAAGGTTGATACTGGTGTCACAGAAATAATTTTTATTTTTATTGAGGCTACAAACAGTTTAACATATTAAAAGAAGCTGATTATTCATTGGTGTGAACCTACTTGTCCCTCTTTTAGATTGGTGAGATTCTCCTCGATCTGAGTCAGCTGTATCTTCATCACATCATCATTGCAGCTACATCTCTGATTAACTTGCTTAACCAGCTCGAGCTGAAATACAAAGGTTTACTAGGAATAACATGGTACTACATGGTAATGGTAACACTTCCATCAGATTATTTTAACATGTTGATCAGATGTTATAAAGTTATAAAGATCAGACAAAATGTAAGATAAGCAGTAACTCACCTCCCTTTCTTTGAGATAGTTGATGCAGCGCTCCGTCATCTCCTGGATCTTCCTTTTAGCAGTAAGACTCTCCACATCACTCTCTCGCTCTGCGTTTTTTATCTTCACTATGCTCTGCCTGAAGGCGAAGACCAGACTCATTGCTAGCTAATATTCATACATTTTCATGTGTTTCACCCTATCGAGTTTTGTGGAATGGTCAGTCTGTTGGTTTTCGTTCAGAAAGTGTGATCCAAAATGACTTACTTGAGACTGTAAATTTTAGATTCTGTCTTCTTCTTGAGCTCCTCCATTTTTACCTGACAACAAAAATATGTTTATAATTTGTGCGCAATTTTAGTTGTCAAACCGTTGATAGATTTAAAGCTTGAACATTTTATTCGTTTATCAGTCATCAGTTTTCAGAAAGCACATTTATGAAGTAAACGTGTCATAAGAATTTACACTTAGATTAATCAGTATAACTATAACGCGAATATTGCCAAAATTGGAAACCTTGATGTGCTCGTACACTTCCTCGATACTGGTGACGTCATGAGACTTGTGGAAGCCAATTGCACATCTTGGACAGACTGCCTTCTCGCAGTCACTGCAGAACAGGGAGACCAGTTCCTTAGGATGACTTAAACCTGACCGGGAAGATTGACGTTGCAGTGGAGCAAATTAAATTCTGTGGAATCATGAATCCTGTGTGATCAATATTTGCTAATTCAGTGAGTTTATTCAAAAGAAGCGTTCAATTTTCGGAGAATAACTATGAACTCACAGTAGTGTCGTTTGTGTAGCATCTGGAAGGCTTGGTGGGACTCCAGAATATCCTCAATCACCACCAGGTGATGATCACAAGTCGCTCTGGACCGGTCGTGGAAATCAGCGTGTTTCTGACAATAGTTCTCTTGGCACTCGATACAGTGGCATCTGTAATTTTGAATTATGTTGAAATGTGTTGTTCTGTGTTGAATAATATGGGATAACATGGGAATCTGCAATGTTACAGTCACAGTGACATGTTTGCAATAAATGAGGTTGACTAACTTGGCGAGTTCAGCACAGCCCACGCACTGGACATTTCCTTCATGGTGCTCCCCCCTCAGCTTCACCATCTGAAGCAGCTTCATCTGACGCAGGTTCGTCTTGAATCCCAGCACTGTTCCTCCTGGGATGCTAGCCTCTCTCCTGCACACCGGACAACGCAATATCTCGGGGTTTTTGGGGGCATATCCCACACCTAGAAGACATGGTGTGAGGGTTTACTCTTGTTAACATGGATTGGGGATGCACTTCAATCAATAGTTCTATCGATTGCAATAAAATAACAGATTTGAATCATATCTTTTATCATCGTACAATGTCTGATTAAAATAGCTGGAATTGGATAGATTTAAAAAAATTACCCTTGTTGCAGCCGGGGCAGCATAGAGTCTTCTCTGGGCATCGAGGACATTTAATACTTTTCTTCTTTACATCTTCCTTAGCCAATACTTCTAAACACTCGCCGCAAACTGTTGGAGGGTAAGTGTTAAGGGGGGGGGGGGGGGGGTTAAGTGTTAAGGGGGGGGGGGGTTAAGGGGGGGAGTAAGTGTTAAGGAGGTAAGTGTTAAGGGGGGGGGGGGTAAGTGTTAAGGGGGGGGGGGGGAGAGTAAGTGTTAAGGGGGGTAAGTGTTAAGGGGGGGGTAAGTGTTAAGGGGGGGTTAAGCGTTAAGGGGGGGGGGGGGGAGTAAGTGTTAAGGGGGGAAGGTAAGTGTTAAGGTGGGGGGGGTAAGTGTTAAGGGGGGAGGGTAAGTGTTAAGGGGGGGGGTAGGTGTTAAAGGGGGGTTATGTGTTAAGGGGGGGGGAGTAAGTGTTAAGGGGGGAGGGTAAGTGTTAAGGGGGGGGGGGTTAAGTAATCAGTGACTGAAAGCTGGCTACCACATTTTGAGTTTCTAGCGTAGCTATTTTGCAACTTCGGACTTTTAGCGGCCAGCTGTTTACGAACGTGTTATAGAGGTTAGCTTTTTGATCGGTAGTTCTTGGTAAGAATTAAACAGTTCGTGGTGAGTATTAAACAGGATTCGTAAGCAAGTTAACTCCGTTAGCTGTTTCATTCGGTCTAGCTATAATCATGGTCTCACCAAAGTTTAATAGTTGAAAGATGGTAGACAGATTACTAGTTACTACGATTAAAAGCAGTGACACCTAGAAACTGGGGATTAATGGAAACTTCATGTCTTAACAGCCTAATTTAGTGTTATATACTAGACGAGTTATTCCTGATTCCCTCGAGTAGACGCTCATGTTGTTAATCACGTAAATGGTATAAATGCCTCGCACTGTTAAACTTCGTGTCAAAATTGTGACCGTTACGGAGGGCGGTCTCCATGATCTAAACTTTATTTACAATGAAGTAAAACTATAAGAGTTAGGAATGGTGGGGGAATTATCCATATTGTTGCAAAGAAATTAACTGACGGGTGCACAAGGTTCACTATGGTCTTAGGAAAGGAATCCCGACTCGTTTTGTCTCTTACCTGTATGAAGACAGGGCAGAACTCGAGGTCTTTTGTCTCTTACATTTTCCTCCGTCGGCAGATCGTACGCTTTATTACATGACGGACACGTTAGTTCTGCTTGTAGAGACTGAAGGAGTATTACTAATAAGTAATAACTACTTGGTTACACTAGGCGCTATCCTAACCTTAGTCCACGACCTAAATGATAAAATATAGCCATTCAATTTGAGTAACATCATATGTCCAGCATTTATAAAATCGAAGTGATCTTCTGCGTTTGGCCATGATTTACATGCAATAACATATTGTACCAACAACAATTTGATTCAATTCTATAGCTATTTCATATTTTTGTCTCCCAGGATTTTAATCGCTTCGAGCAAAATAGAAGAGGAAAACCTTTAGCGATATCTAAAGCAGGTTATAGCTGAAGATGAAAGCAATAAAGTCACTTCTCTGGGTGCTATTCTGATGTTTTAGTCCGCGGTTTTTAATATTCATAAGTAAAATCGCCTGGATCGGGAATTTCTTTCCTTAAGATTTTAAAACTTGAGCTGTTTTCTGTTTTAGCTCCAGGCCCGACTTAATCAAATTATGTCTTTGACGTTTACATAATTTTATTGCGGGATCTTAAACATATTCCAACTGTCAGATCCCAGCAGTCAGAAATAGGTGACCTGTAAATTCAGTTAAAGGTAAATTTATAGGTAAATGTTATAGCAAAAAAAATGTTATAATAAAGACCCACTTTTATTGCTGTCTTTGAGTCTAAAACTTTTCTCCCGTATAAAAAAGCCTCGAAACTTTATTTTTATATTTTAGTGGTATGTGGTTATTCTCTCAGCCTAATCGATTTCGACTGTAGAACAAGAATTACCAATAAATTTTAGTTGAATCATGGGTACCGAGAAAATCCACCAGGTTTATATCGGAAGTGGAGACGTCAGCAGAAAATAAAGAGGTTTTTAAACAGCAGTTTAGGATTTTTTTGAGAAATATTTGAAACACATTATAGCTCCAGCTCCCGACTCCCAAGGCATAAACTGTAAAACTATAGTGGATCACGAAATCCTCACGCGGTGTGGCCTGGTTGGCACTAACTGGAGGTGTGCTCTTTTGTTGAGCGCAACCACTGGGAGATTTTGGGACCGGAAACTGATCCGGCCCCCAAAGAGGGGTCAGATCACATCACCAATTAGTGACGTATAATTAGTGATGTGATCCATGGATTGAATATAATTGACACAGAAATGGGCTTGATCTGGGGTAGAGTTCACATGTCAATTCTGTAAAACATAGCTGTACATTAAGAAGTAAACATGATCTGACTGCTCGAATCGTAGATCACATAAGGGACGGGAACCTTGCTAAAGGGGGGGGGGGGGGGGGGGGTTCTCGTATCAAGGGATGTGAGACGTACGTGTCAAAGGCATGCAAGGGGAGTGAGCCGATCTAGTGTTCTAGGTATAAATATTGGGTGATAGAAGGTAGCAGTATCGCATTCTATCAACAGTCATGCCTACCTTCTCCAAGTTCCTCAACGGTTTCAGAGGATGTCAACAGGTGCTTGATTCTGACGGATATATCTAAAGCAGCAAGAAGTATGATGACACCGTCCTCTCCTCTGCTTGGCGTTGCCAGAAGAACAAATCCCTTAAATGTCCTGCCATGTGCTACCTCGCTCTAACAGACAACACTCTTTCCCTTGGAAGTAAACCACACAACCACGATTCGGATCTGGCTACCCCACAGAGACTCGAACTCCTTACAACGGTCAAGAGGAAGGCTGCAGAATAACCCTGCACATCTACGAGATGAGACGAACAATTTATCCTCTTTGATGGGAAGACTGACCGAGATGTGAGAATCATAGCCTTTGCCACCAACAGGAACCTTCGCAGAACACAACAATTGGATCGCCCAAAGCCCTCTGTTCAAGAATATTTTCGTGCTATTAAGGAGCAACAGGTTGTTACAGACTATCATCTGGATCGGCTTGCTGTTGGAAAGACTCCGTCCAAAAAGAAGAGGATTTCCAGCAGTATTCTGTACGACTTTTGTTCTTCCTACACGACAAACAAAGATTGAGTACTTGTTCGCTGTTGCGAAATACTTTGGTAATAATATTGAGTAATTTGTTGTATTCTGAAGTATTATATTATTAATCGATTTATCATTTTATAACCAACCAATACATTGTCTCAATTTAAAACATGTTCACTTCTTAATTTGTACAGAGTTGTCATATGAACTCTACCCCAGATCTAGCCCATTTCTAGGTCAATTATATTCAATCCATGGATCACATCACTAACTATACGTCACAAGCTTCAAGCTTGCATGTTAATTACTTGATGACGTATATGGTGGATCATATCACTCCGGCCCCAAAGTCTGGCAGCCAGCGCAACGGTCGGGACTTGCCAACTCGAACCTCTCTAGGTGAACCAGGAACGTAGCTCTAAGATCTATTAAACCACCAGGAAATTCTCGTTAAGCTTTCAGGTCCCCCATCGAAGTCACCCACCACAAAGCTAGGGATCCCAATTCGCTCATTCTGACTACAAGGACACACTGATAGTGAAAAGTCCTGGCACTTCTCCCTCCAGTAACCGCTTTTCAGGTCTTTTCAGTTACTAGACAGCTAATGCACAAGGGCTGACACACGCTAGACACAGGCACGTGATAAGTCGAGTTAGGGATTTCAACTCTTGTTAAGGCTTTAAAGAAATTATTCGAGCACATCTATTCGTTTGGGTCACCTTCTGCCTCGTAGGTACCTTATTAACAGCGATTTTATTATAACTATATTGAATTTATGCTGTTCTTGTAAATCTTGATTTTGTGAACCAATGCAGGCGATATATCTTTCACGAAGTCTCACGAATATGCTAACATTGGACCTTGCTACCATTGGACCTTTGTAAAACAGCGAGGACTAGATGATTCCACTGTTCGCTTACTTCATGGATACTATTGTATTGGCAGTTAAGATTATGTTCGCATCTTCTGCGTATAACTATAAAATAAACTGCGCAGCACGTGACATTCCCAATATATTAATATATATTAATATTAGAGTTGACAGAAGTTTAAAACACTTAAGATTATGTGACATAAAGTTAAATCATTCAAAAAATTCTACTACTTCTAGTCATTGAGTTGCATGATAGTTAGTTTCACTCTCAGTTTCAATACCTCTGAAGCAACGGAGAGATCCACTGGCGTGCCAGAGTCAGCGGAATAGGAGAGAGCTGTAGCCATCATCCCTGAAAACGGCGCTGTTAGAGCTTTCGTTACAAAGGGTTGCGAAATTCAGTCAACTATGTATCAATATTTCAATTCTCTTAAAAAAGAGAAGTATTGTAAATCTATTAATAGATAAATATAATATAGCGCACCCATTGCGGTGGGTAATTCATCGTTATTGTTCTCATTAGCACCCTCTTGGACGGCGTTGTTAGGTAACGGTGTCGTGGTCATGGTAACTAAGCAGGAATCTTGGATATTAGATAAAGTTATAAGAAAAGTGAGGTACGAGGTATCTGATCTTCTTGCCAATCAAATAAGACCCTAATTAAGTTATTTGATTTCAGCTGTTCGGTACTTTGTCGGTGGACACTTTAACGTAAGCAAGGTTAAGGCACGGATAACACACCGTGCCTCAACCGTGTCTTAACTGTGTCCACTGACACTCGACAGAGTACCAAATTGCATATTATTTTATCAAAGTTCTAAGTCCTATGGACTCAGGATTGCTTCAGCCGTGTGATATTCACAATCACCAAAGAACACCCAGGCTATATGAGCCCTAGCTGATCTGACAATTTATAAGGTTAACCCTACCTAGCACCTAGCCATAATCCAACAGTGAATTAATCAAGGCAAAGTTAAATAAGCTAGGGGAACAAATTTAATAGTCAAATAAATTATATAAGAATTTAAAGTTTATTCCTATCCAAAAATATTGCCGTTTAAATAACTTGAGATATTGGTGGTGAGGTGAACCAAGTAAATAATAATCAGCATTCTCCTATCAAAACCCAGAATCACTGTCACGTGTCAACACAAAAACCCAAATTCACTGTCACGTGACAAAACAAAAATGCTTCAACTCCTGCCAGTATTGAGATCTACAACACTAAAGGACTACATAAAATCCACAAATGAGATACATCACTACAAGAGACCGAGACGATGCTAAAGCTAGTACTATCGCAAAGAGAGCAGCAAAACAACAGCTCTAACAAGTAAGCACGTGACCTTTTGCGAATGTTAGGGCAGATCACGTGACTGTTCAAACTAGATAACTAATCAGTGTTCTGAGTGCACGTGCGTGCGAGAAATCATGCAAACAATTGATACTCGTTGCTATACAAACGCTGGAGAATTGCAGCTGTATCAAGAGATTTGTAGAACACTCGTTCCTACTAGGGCCGTTATTTTCTAGAGCTCAGTTTGTTTGGTTTTAACTGTCAATTTCCTAGTTCCACTTCCTGCTTCTAATCACCTCTTTTGTCTGTTTTTATAATTATTGAAAAGGCCCTGCTGATGACACAATTTATTTTTAAAAGTTTTTAGCACAGGATAACTTTGAACTCGATAACACCAAAGATCCTGATAACACCTGATATAACATGACAGCCAAACCAGTTGATATGGCTGCCTCACCGTCTGAGATAGGGATGCTGTCCCGAAGTGCAGCTGTCACCTCCAGCTTCAGTTCTGTTCCCGGTGAAGAGAAAGTGGACAATCTCCTGACTGAGAAAGTTACCAAAGAGGTGGGTTTTAGGTCGGCCGCCGGGCTCTGATGTCGTCTTCGACATAATGTTTCACTGAGAAATTGAGCTCGGCTCCCATTCTGCCGGATATTGACATATCACTGATTCGTAGATATATATGTACGTTCCTGATTATGCGAATTCTATTTACATAAAGCCATACATATTTTGCCCCTCATCCCAGTCCTTTACAATATTTCTGAACTGCATATTTTACAAGTAATAAAAGGGTTGATAACTAACAAACTCATCTCAGATCACGTGTAACCCATGTGGTAAGGTGTTCCGGTACGGGATCAGGACACCTCGTATTCTGCCCTGTCTCCACACTTCATGTGAGAGGTGCCTTAAACCTAAATCTTCCTCCGGGCGAGACAGCAAAAATTGCATTCCCGGTATACTTTTTACTTTTATTTTTTGTAAGTTTAAATTTATTTAAAATAATTTAGACGTAATAATTCGGTCTAACAAATAAAAATCATGGCCCGTATGCGTGGGCTCGACCAAGAGTCCCGGCTAAAAGTTCTGGTAACTGATAACCAGTAACCAGTAACCATGATTACTGGTAACTGGTAACCGTGGTAACTGGTAACTGATTTGAAACTCGCCCCTCTATTTTCAGAAGAAGAGCTGGTAGCTGATGAACTGTTCGCACAGCCACGCGTAACTTGTCCCATCTGTCGTAAAGAGTCGGACGTTCCCGGAAGTGACATTTCCAAACTACCTATGAACTACTACGCTGTGAAACTACTAGAACTCATTGATTACTTCAAGCTCGAACGGAAGGTTAGTTGCTCTTTTTCAAATATGATAAGTCAATTTTGCTTATGACTTTATGAATATTAACTGACTGACGCGTTATTATAACTGTTCCTAGCTACTTATCGTGCGTAAAAATGTTCATCGTATAACTCTCAACTTTTAGTTAAAGTGTTAGGTACAAAATGAAGTTTGCAGCAGTTATGATCGAGGAGCTATAGATAAACATGACCACTCATAATACGCTTAAAGTTTAAAAGCTTATGATGACATCTTCAGCGATAATAACCTGTGGTGTTTCAGGAGAGATTACCGTGTATCATGGGTGTACTGTATAAAAACCTATTTCAGGGGAGATTGCCATGTATTGGGTGTACCGAACCAGCTCATTGGCGGTGCATTGAGTGCGATGAAAACTATTGCCAGGACCACTCTGACTTCCATCATAAATCCAGGTACTATAACGGCACACATATCTTATTAATATTTAAATCTTGCAATTCCTGCTACTCTATCAACTTCTATTGAATTTGAAATAACGAAACTTCATATCCTCAGGGCCACATGTGATCACAGGATATTGACTTTCAAGCAGATCCTGCTTTCTCCCCGTTCTCTGAGTACAATGAGAAACCAGTACTGTACCACTCACAACAACAAACCTCTCGAGATATTCTGCAAGGTTAGAAATTGTGAATGTTTCAGCTGAACTTTTTAAAAAGAAGTTACAAAACCGTGTTAAGCAGGGAGACGAGAGTCACTGGTTAATTAATTCAGTTTTTACAATTCATTTCTTACAGTTCGGCCGTTTTAACATTCATGTCAATAAGCTTTTATTCTGTTTTTCAAATTCTTTTTTACAACCATCACTAAACTGGAGTTATCATCCCAGGACTGTAACCGAGCCATATGCACCTTGTGTGCAGTAACACAACACAAGACTCACGAAACAAGAGAGGTATTTTCATTAACTTATTTAATTAATTAAATAAATTGATGACATATTTATTTTTAGCTCATCAGCTGCGTTTTAATAGATAGTTTGAAAATTTGATATATAGTCTATTATTTTACAGTCCAGAGTAATCTTAAGTGAAATTTCTAAGCTTAATTGCAAACACCCCAGTTCCATAAAGTAACCGAGTAACCTGGCGCAGGTTGCGGAAGCTGTGGCAGCACTGAAAGCGAAGGTGGACGCTTTGAAACCTCAGATTAGTATGAGTCTTTACTCACTGCGACAAGCTCTTACAAGAGTCAAAACAGCTGCTAGGGAAGTCAATGTTGATTCTCAGGTAAGTTCGAACTGCATCTAAGTATGATTAAAGCTACAAAGATTATTCTGTTGAAAGCGTGGATGTGTTATTCCTTGCAGAGTTCAATGATGGATCATGCGAATTAGCAAACAGATAATTCGCTGCCTTCATCCCACTGTTTCTCCTCGGGTTTGGATGTAAAACACCATACTGTGTCACTCTCAAATCTCGCGCACACTTTACCACTAGACTTGCATGGGGGGGGGGGGGGCCAATGGCATAAATGGAGAAAATGGAGAATTACTCATAGGTTTTTCCATTTTCTCCATAGAAATAGTCTCCATTTTATGTCATTTTATGCCATTTTATGCCATTTTATGCCATTTTATGCCATTGAAAACCTGAAAAATTTAGAATTTCGAGAAAAATTATTTTTTAAAAAGATATTTTCGGCCAATAATGAACAGGGTACGGGTGTAAGGCTGTCAGAATGAAGGTGTTTTTATAAAAGCCACAAAATCTTTAAAAACATCTGTTTTGAACCAGAAACTTCACAAACACCTAAAAACTAGGGAAAGTTTCCTTCCCGGTGTTTGGAATTGTTAAAATTTGCCAGTAAAAGGGAAAAAAATGGGCATGAAATATACCCCTTTTTAGACTACGGCTGTCAGAATGAAGTTTTGTATTATGAGACCTACATTACAAAAAAAAAACTTTTGGTTTATATTGGACTTGCAGGCAGTTAGTTAAATTATACACCAATACCATATCACCTATTTTGTCAACTAAATCACTATTCTTGGGGAATTATACAACATAGAAGGAAGACTGCGGCTGTCAGAGTGAAGTTTTCCAAAACAAACTTGTCCCCATTTTTCCATCATGGCTCTAGGAATCTTTTTAGACCCTCTATCGTTATTAACACATATCTGCAGCGTTATTCTACCCAAATCAAACATTCCTGGCATTTTGGTATAAGTCAATAATCGCAATTTAGAAAACCTTCATTCTGACAGCCGTATTAAGTAGTACACTTTTAAATTTTATATATTGGGCTGTGAGGTATTTCTAGGGCCTATGTTAGCTGTGTGTATGAACTAATTGACAAGTATGACCTTTTACACACTACAACTTTTTCCAATGCTGGCCCCCAATTACTGCACTAGGCCCCCAATTATATTTATTGCATGTTATTGTCAACTTCAACTTGAAGAACAATCCATGGTTACAAGCTCTCTCTCTCATAACTGCTTGAAATCTCATTAAACTATTATATAAAAAAATAAGTATAAAGAATAAGAAAAAGGAACGGGAATGAAGCCAATACCAGAAGTGAAACCCCACCAAAGAATAATTGATCCTTAGGTAGACCTGGTGAAATAAAGTAACTGAACTGTAAGTATAAGAAAAGACGGAAGGAATAAAGGAGAGAGGAAATAATGTTATGTGAACATCATCAGCAGATGACTTGGCACACCGGTTTCGGGGGTTTAATACCTGTACCGGTTTAATGTGCCAAGACCCCCTAGCAATCACTCGTCAGTGATCACCTGTCCACGTTAAATGTGATGTCAAGGATGTCGCTGACATTAAGTATACTGTATTTGTACAGAATACTAGGTCGGTCTTTCAGAAGTTTTCTGAATTTACTTTTCAGGAGTCTGTCATTATAACATCTTGAAAGAAGTGTCCTATAAAGGGTGTTGGTAGAACACAGAAAAGAATCAAGGTCAGAGATAATGGAAGAGTAACGAAGGACCTGACCGTAAAAAACATTATAACCAACAGAAGAGGAAATATTACTGTTAGGAAAGGTGTACATGACCACAGGAAAGTTGAAGTCATCAAGTTTGTTGTAAAGCTTGGTTGCGACGTGTCCGGAGTTATTCATCGAGATGTTGATGTCGAAATAGTTTACGGACTTATTGTCGTCACCACTCCTCTCCATAAGCAGGTCAGGTGGATAAATGGACCTGATTAGGTTAGAGAAATACAAATAGTTCATGGTGTTGAGGTCGTCGACATATCTGCAGTTTCTTGAGAGGAGCTTCGCGAGACCGAACTTCTTTTCTTTGATGTGTCATGTAGTTTTCTTAGGCGTGTCATGTAGTTGAATTCACACTTCCCTAGCGAAAGATCAGCGAACTGGCTACTAGAATTCCCTCCCATGGGAATGCCTTTCGTTTGCCTTAAAATCTGATCCCCAAAACAAACAAAAGTGTTAAACAGAATAAATGTAATAGCTGTTTTGAGGTTATCAGCAGAAAAACATAAGTATCCGTTATATTCCTTTTTAGAGAAAACATTGTTGTTCTTATACAGAGAAACACAAATAAATTTATTCGTATTACTAAAGAGGAGATCTATTAGCTCGAAAAGCAGTGACTGTACAACCTGAAGGTCTAGATTGGTATACAGAGTGGTTAAGTCGTATACCTGCATATTAAAAATCTCTAGTCTAGGCAGCCTTTCCAGGAACTGTTTAGAGCTGTTAATGCTCCAGTCGCAGTTAATTCCAGTATTGTTGTAGATAGAGTTGCAGTATTTGGAAAAGTATTATTTTAAAACTTTTAAAGCTTTGTTGACTACAACTGATATCTGCTTAGTGGTACATTTACTGGCCCCAGCTATAAATCTAGACTTATAAGGATTCTTGTGAAGTTTAGGAATCCAAAAGATTCTCGGTAGACAAAGGTTGTCCTCAGAAACACGAATATTAAAGTTATCTTTAATGAAGTTCACATGTTCCTGAATAATATCATCCTCTACAGAGTTAACCGGATGATAAGTAGAATTTCTACGACACTCTAGAGAAGTGAGATCGTAGCCAAGTTCGTTGAGAAGGGTTAAAAGATAAAACTTCTTGCAGACAAAAACATAATTATTTGAAGCTTTATCTACGGAGCAAATAATAAAAGAAGAAGAAAGACTGTCGAGATAAGATTTAACATCATCCCTTTGTAGAATGGAATTGTAGGGAGTGAAGTTATTAGGGGAGGAGGAGAGGAAGTTAAGGCGATTGGTGAAGATCCGGGAGACCTTATCTTTCCAATCCTGGAATTCCAAACATGAAAGTCCATGTTTCCTAGCCATACGGGTGGCGAAGTTGGCTGAACACTCGTTGAGGCTCTCCAAGATTTGCTCAGGAGGAACAGACACAGGTTCCCTAAATTTGGTACCGTAACTCATGATGCCTCTTAAATCCTCGTGCTCAATGAAAGCAAGGTCACCGGTGATGATGTGGCCTCGAGGCTGATAGCAATAAGGGTTACTGGAACAGGGCCAATCACCTTCCAAGATGGAGGAAATAGTAGTATTATCAAGTGATTTAAGGGGTTTAAGGAATCTATTATAATTATAAATAGCTTACGCCCAACAGGAATATCGTACTTATAGTAAACTTTTAAGGGAAGGAAAGGCGTAAGGTTTGGAGGGAGAAGAGTCAAAATCCTAGAATCACGAATGACTGATTCTATTCGGAGTTTATCAAAAACTTGATTTTGGGCATATTAAACAGGTTTGGATATACTAAAAACACAAATAAACACATTATTTTATGTATCGGTTGTTTCTGATGTTTTTGATCAACTTTTTTTTGAATGCAGAATATCATCATTCTGACAGCCGCCATACCATCATTCTGACAGCCGTTTGAATTTTCTGTTTTAATTTGTTACGCATGTTTATTGAGGGTTTTTTAGGGTATGAATGCATTCTTTTAGGGTTGTTTGATATACCAGTACCAGGTCTTATAGGGATAACTTTAACAACAAGATCACATAAAACTGCCTCATATTTATGCAATGTCAAAATTTGAAAGTGTATTTCCAAATATTTCAGTAATAAATCATTTTTAGCCTTTCTTTCAGTGATGTAAGTGTTTATTCGTGTTTTTAGTATATGCAAACCTGTTTAATATGCCCAAAATAAAGTTTCTAACAACGTAATTTGATTTTTGATAAAAACTTCATTCTGACAGCCGCATCATTCTGACAGCCTTACACCCGTATCATGAAACATGGAGAAAAGTGGTTTTCAGAAAAACTTTGAAAAATGTTGACTTAGAAAATTTTCGGTCCGAGTCATTCTTGATACCTACCTCCCGTATCAAGAGCTCCCGCTTCCGAGCTCGTGTTGCAAAGGGGAGGCCTGCCTTCCGAGATCGCATTACCTCGAGTCCAAAATTGTGTATCGAGGGGAAGGTGTGGACTTCGAAAAACTGAAAAAATATTTTCGGCAAATAATGAACAGGGTAGCATGAAACGTGCAGAAAAGCGTTTTTCAGAAAAACTTTGAAAAATTTTGACTTAGAAATTTACCCCTCGGTACACAATTTTGGACTCTAGGCTTCCCCCTGGTAATGCGATCTCGGAAGGCAGGCCTCCCCTTTGCAACACGAGCTCGGAATCGGGAGCTCTCGATACGAGAGGTACGTATCGAGAATGACTCGGGCCGAAAATTTTCTAAGTCAAAATTTTTCAAAGTTTTTCTAAAAACCACTTTTCTCCACGTTTCATGCTACCCTCTTCATTATTAGCCGAAAATATTTTTTTGGTTTTTCGGTTTATCAAAGTCTGCACCTACCCCTCGATACACAAATTTGGACTCGAGGCTTCCCCTGGTAATGCGATCTCGGAAGGCAGGCCTCCCCTTTGCAGTGCGAGCTTGTTTCGACTTTCGAGGATGTAGGTCTCACTTCTCAGTGCCTATTACTCTCCCCTATTATTACTCACTCCTGCTGTAGCCTGTAGAAAAAACTTTACACTAGGCCAGGCTTGAGTAATTATGAGTTTGCCTGAAGTGTGCCTCTACTAACCTAGTATAAGCATCTAGTAGCCTACTATGAGCTTTCATAAGCTTGTTACGCCCCTAGTAAGCGTAAATAAACATGTTAGGATGTCCAATTTAGGTGTTAAATGGTGTTAAAGATGAAATTTCGAAGACAAAATTCATGGCATAAAATGGAGAAAATGGAGAATTACTCATGGGTTTTTCCATTTTCTCCATAGAAAAAGTCTCCATTTTATGCCATTTTATGCCATTGGCCCCCCCCCCCCCCCCCCCCCCCCACTTGCATATTCGAGCACATCATATAAACCACAGCTGATTTTACCACTAGCATGAATTACCAGGTTTCATCCCGGAAAGTTAGCGGTATGATTGAGGTGTGCATCAGCGCTGTGCGGGAGAAGGAGCGTGAGTTGGTTAGTGATCTGGAGAAGAAGAAACGCCAGAACACTGAGATCATCAACTCTCAGGTAGGGACAATATTCAACAAATAAGGAGAACTTTTCAATTCTATTTCGGGGTCCTTTATCAGCAAATAAGGGGATCTTGATGTAGAAATAAAATATTCCAATTCTTCATATCTTTCGCTTTTTTACCAGCATTCTCTCTATCGCTTTGTCTAATATTAGTCGTGTCGAGCTTATTTACATTTTTCTCTGTGATGAACACCATCCTCTCCCAGAAAGAGTTATTGGAAGGAGAACTGTCATCAATGCAGACTGGTCGGGAGTTTGTAGAGCGGGCCTTCATTGGTAGCGAGGTCGAAGTACGTTAAACCCTGAATTGTTTTATGACAATCCGAAATCACGTGTCATTACTCCATAATCATAAATATAATAACAAGATGTCCCTATTTCAATATCCAACTAGTCCACTCTTTACCAGGTGCTGTGTCTGGAACCCCAAATAGTCGCTAAGATGGACGAACTCATCTCAGGGGACTGTCCCACTATAAACTCTGAAGTGGACCGTATCGGCTTCACTCCCAGGTCTCAGCCACTCTTCATCTCATATAGTTTATGACCATCAGTGTTATTGTGCCCAGGGTTGCATTCAAACGGAATCTACAGCTGGTAATCGTTATAAAGTATCGTGCCCATCATACTATCATAGGGAATTCCTCGTAACATCTATTTTTCAGCGGACATGACCACATCTTGAAAGCAATCGAAGTGCTCGGAAAGGTGGGACCTCCTAAACCAGATCGTGGTCCCAGAATGGTTAGTTTTTAGTAGTAGTAATAAACTATAATGATATGTTTCTCAGCCTTCTAACTTTACTTTTTCGATCTATTTATCATCAAACTGGCATGGTCATCAAACTGGCATGGTCTGTATTTCGAGTACTTTTTACATTTGATTAAATTCACATCGTTCCCTGCTCACACTTCTCACTTCTGATTGTATTTATGCATCATAATAATAGGTAGTTGACGATAACGGAGATCTGGTTCTCTTGGATAACAAGGGAAACGTTATCCGAGGGGAGACGAAGGAGTTACTCAGACTGCTTAAACAGAACATCATCGAGGAAGAGTTGAGAGTGGATGAGGAGGAAAGGAAGAGATTACAAGAGGAAGGTAGGTCATCTCTCTGTCTGTCTGACTGTCTGTTGTCTGCTTCTGCTGTTAACTCTATCAATGTAAAGGTCACAAAAATCCGAGCAATTTAGTGGTCGCTGTTGAGCGGTGACGTCATCAACCACGGATGTGGGATTGGTGACGTCACTGGTGATTACTTGGATCTGTCTGTCTGTCTGTTTGTCCGTTAACATGTGTTCAATTCTTTGACATGATCTGAGTTTACTATCATAAGTATAGGAAACGTACTATGCCTATTTGCCTACTCAGGTACTTTGGAAATATTTACGAAAATGTCATAATGAGTTAATTCGGTTTTAATTTCTTTTGTTTCTAAAGATCTCTCAGACTTTCTCTCCTACAATCTCCCCTCTTTCATTTCTAATAACTCGATCTAGCGCATTAACCATCTCTAATGCTTTTCGAGGTAACAAAGTTGTTATTTATGTTTTTATGTCTATCTGTCCAGACTCCAGTATAGATAACACTGTATTTAACCCTTAACTAATTAGTACTTTAGTATGAGAGTGAACCTAATATTTAAATTTGTTTGATATTCAAAGTATTTTAGAGGATGCAAGATTGGCTATATTGAGAGAAGACGGTATGAATAATAGCAGGGACCACAATTTTATAAGCTCTCATTTTTCATACATTTTTAATACAAATTCCTAGAGCTATTCCTTAATAAAATAGTTCAATTAAGCCATTTCTCCAAGGAGAGCACTCACTCAAGCTATTTTTAATAAAATTTATTAACTCCCGCTATTTTTATCAAAAATTATACTTCAAGCTATCTTTTAAATGAAAATTTTTCTTTCAAGCATTTGGTTTATGAAATTTGTCCTTTCAAGCTATTTTTGAACAAAAATTTCTTTCAAGCCTTTGATTTATAGAAATAATTCTTTCAAGCTTTTTATTTAATAAAATTATTCTTTCAAGCTATTTTTTAACAAAAATTTCTTTCAAGCCTTTGAATTATGAAAATTATTCTTTCAAGCTATTTTTAACAAACATTTCTTTCAAGCCTTTGATTTATAGAAATAATTCTTTCAAGCTATTTTGTAACAAAAATTATTCTTTCAAGCTATTTTGTAACAAAAATTTCTTTCAAGCCTTTGAATTATGAAAATTATTCTTTCAAGCTATTTTTTAACAAAAATTTCTTTCAAGCCTTTGAATTATGAAAATAATTCTTTCAAGCCTTTTGTTTAATAAAATTATTCTCTTGAGATATTTTCTCTGAGTACCTGTCTCCCAGTAGCTTCACACTATGTACTAATAATAATAATATAATATCAATTTAAAATGTTTTGTTTGTCTAAACGTATGTTTTCCCGTCTGTTTCCCTATTTATTGGTCCTTGCTTTTTAGCCTGAATAACACGGCAAAATAACCTTTTTGTGCAACCACAATTAGTTGCGCAATAGTTTTGATAAAACATTATTTTACTTTTAGAGGAAGCAAGATTGGCTGCATTGAAGGAAGAGGGTATGAATAATAGCAGGATCACAATTTTACAAGCTCTTTATATTTCATACACATTACATCAGTTTTATGGAAAACAAAATCAAAATCTCTGCATAGTGCATGATGGCTGATGAGCTAAAAAACTCAAAGATGTCAATTAGCTTTTCAAGAATTTACAACCACTTTTGTTAGCATAAAGCAAACACTCGACAGCAGCAGGATCTGCCCCTGACTGTTTATTGAATATACTGACAGTCGCACATGTTCTTCAAAAATATTGCTGATTTCACTAAAAACAATAAGAAAATTCGTACTTTGCATGAAAACCAAGCCTTTAAAGCGATGACATGGTCTCACGAAACTGAAGGATAAATTCTGATAAATTTATGCTCTCTGCTCTGAGCTCTCTGTAAAGTGTAATCTACAACATGCAAACTTACAAAGCATATAGAGCAAACGCATACTTTCTACAGATCACCCTTTTAATACGCCTTTGATACCGAAGATAAACTTATAGCACTCAATTCTCCCCCTCATCAAACATGACCTTTTCTCAATGAAGAATGCACATCTGGTTCAATGAACTTGGTAAATCTGTACATTTCTAAAGTTCTTCTTCGCGCATTAGAGTTAGACTCGTTTTAGAACTATTGGTCATTTTATGACTATTATATTCTTATCACAGCCCATCTTTCTCTCTTATTAAACCGCTTACCTTACAACTGGTGCCTTTTCACCCTTCTAGCCAGTATCTTTAGATAACAGTGCATCTGCTTCTTAACTAACTAACTAATTAACTAACTTAACCTTCTAACTAACTAATTAACAAGCTCAGCTTTTCGTGCAATTTATTGGCTCAGTAGCTGTCTGGACCACGTTTAAGTTAATAGCAAATTTGTTTGATATTCAAAGTATTTTAGACGATGAAAGATTGGCTGCATTGAAAGAAGAGGGTATGAATAATAGCAGGGACCACAATTTTATAAGCTCCCATTTTTAATACAAATTCCTAGAACTATTTCTTAATAAAATAGTTTAATTAAGCCATTTCTCAAAAGAGATTATTCACTCAAGCTATCTTTTGATAAAAGTTATTCCCACGAGCATTTATTTACATGAAAACAAGCCATATTTTGATAGGAATAAACAATAATTTATTGAGCCATTACTTTACCAAATAATTCCTCCAAGCCATTTCTAGATGGAAATAATTCATTCAAGCCAATTTTAATAAAATCACTCACTTTTAAGCCATTTATTTAACAAATAATATCTTTTTGAAATCATTGCAATGATTCACCAAAGCTATTTTTAATACAATCAATCACTTTTAAGCCATTTCTTTAAGAAAATAATCCTCTCTACTCTCAAGCCAAACAAAATCAAAATCGCTGCATGAATATAATCGCTGCATGATGATCGATAAACCTACTTTCATAATAAACTTAAAATCACAGTTTCACTGATACACCTCAGGTTCTTTATAATTCTAATAATTCTTGTGAACTGATTGTGTAATACTGATTGCAAACGGTAAGAATGTTCCCATACATAGACAAAAGCAAAGATGTACGTTATTTGAAATCCATGCTTCTAGTTTGCAATGATTTATCTGGATGATTCACGGCATGTAAACTTACAAAGCATATAAAGCAAACGCATACTTTCTACTCTAACGCAAATAATACTATAAAATAAACCACCTTTATTACCAAAACTAGCACTAACGGTTTAAATAAGGATTGCGAGTTTATCAGAGTAAGTTAGATCTGTACGTTAATTTTAAAGACGCTTTATTTTATATCAATGAGATGTCACTCTTGGCAATATTTATAGTTAGTTAAGTAGCATAACTCGATATGTACTTGACTCTTATTCTTAGCACTCTGACCTTGAAACTTTGCACAATCGTAGAAGCTGATTTCTTACTAACTACTCTTATCTTCTTTTCATGTATTTCAGAACGGAAAAGGGCCGAGGAAGGTATATTTACTTACAAAGCATCTTTGAGTGGGCACATGAAGCAATTATTTGTTTAAATATTAAATTAAATTAGTTGTTTGATCACTTGGTTATACTGTTATAGTAGTTGAAGTTAGCGTTTGAGATTGTCCTGGTTCCTCGATTGAATTACGAAAGTGAAAAATAGAATCGCAAACACTGACTTGTAGTTATACACTAATTGATCTAGTTAAATTTAAACTTCGTTTGTTAAAATTTATAGCCAGCCAGGTAAGTGCTCCATGTGCCCATCTCACGTCTTCAACTAAAAACAGCATTCTTTCACTCTCTTTCTCTTTCACAAACATTAGAAACTTAACCAAAAATGGGGGGAAAAAATACCCAAAAACTCTTAACTTGAGAAAGTTGAACATCCTGGATTTATTTCGTTTAACTGATAACATTTCCCTGCCAGCTGCTCGACTCAAAGCCCTGGAACCGCCCAGGACCCCGACCCCTCTTCCACCACGTGACTTCACCGTTCCAATCAACTTTAGCAGGACCTTCGGCAGTCAGGTAAACCCAGAGTAGTTTACCATCTGCTGTCTCGACAAGTTAACTAGCCGTTTTGTTTCAACTTTTAAACACCGCTCAGTGCTTATTAGTTAATACATGCACCAATCATATAATAAGTCATGTGAATTCATGAATTGTGAAGGTACAATATTTAAGCAATTCCTGATACCATTACCATGTAGTAGAGCTCATACGCGACCCTTTAATAATTTACGTAATCCGTGTCAGAATTTCTCAGAAATTTCAGAGATTATAGATATGGGTATCTGGGAAAGTCCCTGAACTTTTGATTCAACTATCCTGGAACCTTGGACTGCTGCCAAGAACAAGATGTTATCCCCAGTTCTAATCATTCCGTGAAACTATTTCCCAGATAGTTCGTATTAATTCCAGACTGACGTTTTAGCCTAACATAGCTATATCTTTATAATATAGATGATTATATAACCACGGAACTAATGAAAAACGGAAAATTCATATCCGCAATTATAAGTCAGCAGTTTACCGGTTGAGACTGAGCTAAGCGAGGACGATGGGGATACCATAAATAAAATATAATAAAAATCTGCGACAATTATATTGAACGAACCAACTTCAGGGTAACGAGACAGGCATGTACAGCGGTCCGGTGGGCATGTGTATTACAGACAAGAACTACATTGCTATTTGTGACGTCCACAACAACCGGATACAGGTACATTCTTCAGATCACATCTATCCTGGCCCTGGAGAAGAGTTTGTTTTAGAGGGTCACTCTCGGGTTCTAAGATCGAGACCAGTGGACTGTTAATTGGATACAGAATGCAGATTTGTTTAATAATTGGAACTGGAAAACTATGCTCTTTAAACATATAATCTAATATTCTGTATGCCTATGAAATAAGGTCCATCATCGTTATTTCAGGTAGTCAAACCAGATGGAACGTACGTGCTCGGATTTGGAGTAACAGGTATAATGCAGATTATATGTTGGTTTTATATTATCATTCCTGATGTAGTTAATGTTCATTCGGCAGCTCAACTTGATCTACGTCTTATTGCTGTTCATTTTTTAAAGGGGAATTTTTTTCCATAATCCGATTATTCCGGATATACTTGGACCCATCAAAGGGCGTATCCTACAATCACTTTGTTCCCCTAACTCCACGCTCTGTGTATCATATTATTTTACTTAGAGATCTAATAGTCCACCACATAACAGGCACAGCAGTGGGAGAGTTGAACGGTCCCAACGACATCTGCATGTTCAACAACAGAAACTTCATCATAGCAGACACTTACAACGACAGGTTAATACCGGCTTACATCTTCCACTGTATCAATTAGTCAATCGTGGTTTTATTTCAAATATTTCAATTTGAAAGACTGCTATTCAAATAACTTTGATTAAAAGTATTTAAAATCAAATACATTCATTCAGATTACTGTTGTTCACATAGCTGATGTTACCGTTTAGCTAACCATGGGTCTGGTTTCAGGATCCAGCTGTTCGCCCCGACAGGAAGATTTATCAGAACTATCGGGCAGAAAGCACGCAGACGAGCTATCTTCAATATCCCTGGCTGTAAGTTTATCTTGTCCCACGTCGTGACCCTCATCTCGTGACCCTCATCGTCATCTCATTTAATACTCGTGCGCGGCGACCCTACAATATGAGGCAAAGTTTATAAATTCCTGTACTACTTACTGCAGAGTGTCACCCATATTAGCTAAATAAATTAATTTAATATAAGCTTACTTGTAGATTTGTGGATTGAAAATTCGTGTGACGTGTGTTGATTACACAGTTCTACAAGTTACGATAATCCAACTAACTATATTACGTATGACAATTAAATTAATTTCAGCGCAAAAGAAACCAGATGCGATGGAAGGAATATTCGAAAAACCATTCGGTGTTTGCGTTAATTCTAAACTCCAGATTTTAGTATCTGATATGGGAAATCACAGGTAACTCCCGCATTGATACTTATAGTTTTCAAATGCCCCATACTCGTTTATTCGCGAGATTTAACTTGTGTACTGATTATGTTTGCCACCTGGACTGAAAAGTCAATAACTCGCTCATCTTCCTCTGCAGAATACAAGTTTTCGAAAGGAATGGTGACTTCTGCAGGCAGATAGGAGTGCGGGGTGATGACCCTGGACAGCTAATGTACCCTTACGGTATTGCTGTCGACTCACTGGACAACATATACGTCTGTGATCTAGGTACAGTTACTATCAGTTTGATGCATTTATAACTCGTGAAGCTAAAAGCCATCTGTTGATCGAATGTTTATTATTTACTAACTTGATCCAATACCACACTTGATTAAGATAAACTTTTAAAACCAAAACACAGACCTGTTAGCGCCCCGAGATTATTGAAAACAAAGAAACGTATTCTTGGAGTTGTGTAGTTGTACTGAAACTACAGTGAGACATCATCTTCGGGAGCTAGAATTCAAACTAGGTCTGCTGCATTTCAATAATCATACATGTTAAATGTAGATACAGCAGTAAGTAATTCCTGGATCATATCAGGTAACCACAGAGTACAGAAGTACAACTCAGAAGGTCGGTTTTTGAAGCAGATAGGGCACGGCAAGGGTGAGAGTGACGGGTGTTTCATGCAGCCTCGCTCCGTAGCTGTGGACATTAAGACAGGATGCGTGTCTATAGTCGATACTGCGCTCCATAGAGTACAGGTTTATATCCTTATCTTCTATTACATCTGAAATGCTGTCGTAATTATCTTTCATGTTAGTGACTTTAGCGTACTTTACTATTTAAAGGTCATTTTATACTGTGTATATGGTTACATTGAACGTTAAAAAACGTTTTATGAACACGAAACATAAACGGAAGTACACAGGTGTTCACCAGCGAGGGACAGTTCCTCAACAAGTTTGGTTCCCGAGGCAACTACGAGAACAAATTCAGCAGTCCCTGTGGCATAACCACCAACTTCGACGGAGAAATCTTCGTTTCAGACTTCAGAAACAACAGAATTCACGTTTTGTAAAATGTTTTAAATTAGAACAATGGGGACAATGAGGACAATGAGGACAATCATCTCATTGGTTTTACTGAAATAGTTTGAGTCTCTTACTTATACTTTTAACTGTATCCAGATACACTGATACAGGTTGAAGCATTTAATTTTAAGTGAACACTTCACTTTCCCAACACATTTTAGGCTGCTTTGTTTTGCGCCATGTTTTTATTCAGCCACTTCGAATAACAGTCTAGTTACTTCTACACCACTAATTCATTGTCTACTGTTATACACAAAGTACATAAAATTATTATCATTAACGACATAATATTACTGAACATCTCTGAAAAGTCTCCAGGTCCAACCATAACAACCACACAGATAGCACATACCTGAAACTTAGAAACTGCAGCACGAGCTTGTTTCGTGTTTTCAGACAATTTTTGTTTATGTTACCTTGCACCTATTTAAAAGTTTAGACGTTTCTTGGAACATGCCCGGATTCAAGGTGGCATTTGATGTTCTTGACGAACTACCGGAGGAGACTCCCCTTTATGAGCTGCAGGTGTGCCCTAGGGACCTGGTAGGGAGACACGAGAACAGAAACGATATTAACTCCTCTACTCCTCTAATAGAGGACGAGGAAGAGGACGAGGAGGAAGGGGAGGAGGAGGTGATTTCTCCTTTAGCAGAAAATGAAAATGTACATAATAGAACCGTCTCTTATAATGAGTTCCAGACTATACCAGCCCAGGTTTCCTCAGGAAATGACAGTTCTTCTTCCAGTACTAGTTCCATCCTAGAGGATGGAAGTAGATTCGGTCTCAGACAATTGAGGAAAAAGTTATCAGAGAGATCCCATTTAGTGTACTCAAGTAATTCCTCGACTACATATCTTGAGGCTGAGGAGGAGCTGGATTCCTTTAGATCACTCCCTCAATTTGAATTAGAATCAGCCGGTCGACCTTCCAATCATAAATCAAGAAGAGACTCTGTATTTTCTATGTTGTCAAAAGGGAAAGCAGGCTTAGAAAGCATCACGGGGCTAAGATCAAGGTCCTCATCACTGGCGCAATCTCGCCATAAAGTAAAAACTAAAAGTGGATACTACATTACCGACAACTTCAACTGCAGGGTCTGCCACCATTTCGTCCCCAGACCTGCAGATTCCTCTTCTCTCCCGTCTGAGCGTTGTAAGTGTGGTCTCCCCGCCGAACTGCACGTCCTGTCCGGAGCGTTCAATTCGGCTGATGTGTCCAACACTTCCGCTTCGTGGAGCTACACCCGGCACACTACAAAGATCCCTACCAACTCTTTTGGGTACATTGACTTCATCGACAGCTTCCTGGATACTAATACAATGCCATACTTCCTAAGATTAGACATTGACACTTCACCCGCTAAAATAACTGAACTTATGTTGGAAAAGTGGGGGATCCACAGACCCCGTCTCATCATGTCTGTATTCGGGGAGAGCTACAAGGATATCGACGAGAACTTCCTAAAAAGGAACTCTGAGTTGTTCGCGAAGCTGACAGCAGGACTCCTGAACGCCGCTAAGACGACGGAGGCCTGGTTCTTCACTGCTGGGTATGACTGCGGGGTTAGCAAACTTATCGGCCGGGCTGTTGGGAACAGCAGGAGCTTTATAAATGTCATACCTGCTATAGGGATAGGGTTCTGGGGCGCTGTTGCTAGCAGAGACAGACTGGTCGGGGAGGGAGGACTTTTCCCTGCAGAGTACTGTAAAACTAGCACGTATACTACAGTTGGGGTGGAGAGACCTTTAGACCCGAACCACACTCATTTTCTGCTGTTCGATCGAGGAACTGTTGGAAGTTTCATGACAAATGAAATACACAATAAACGTATTGAAGTGGAAGCGAATATCTCAGAATTTACTAAAGCTCAGTTTATCTCAATAATGATTGCAGGTGATCTTAGCTCTTTAAGGGAATTAAGGAAGAGAGTTGAGGAAGGTTATGCTGTGGTCATTATGAAGGGCACAGGTCGAATGGCTGACATTCTTTGTCAGTTTCACGATGCTGCTAATGCTGAATCATATAGAAAAGCATCATGGCACGGAATGAAACTTTCTGCCAGTGCCATGGAGAAAACTCTTTCTCTTCTGAGAAAGGAATTTCCTCGCCGTAAGGACCAGAGTTTTGCGGTGCAGCTTGAAGATATCAAGGCTCTCTTGCGATATTGGAAAGATAGCATCACCATATGTGATTGTGATGTTGACTGCGTGGACAGAATTATACTCCAGGGACTGATTAAGAGTATCAAATCCAGCGGTGCTTTGAATGACAATGTAGCTGAGCAGCTAAAATTAGCTATAATATGGAACAGGGTGGATCTTGTAGAGGAGTCATTCAAGGCGAACACCATCCCTCGTAATCTTGTGGAGGATTTGTTGTTTTTAGCTCTGAAACTGGATCGGGTAAGCTTCATCAGGAAGTTGTTAGATCACTGTGATGCTGCGTTTGATTTCAGTCAGTTTTTAACTGAGGACAGGTTTTCGGAACTGCTAAACGATGTCCCCGAAAGTAATTTTCTCCGAAAGCTACTGACCCAGCGAAGAAGAGTGATGAAACGATACGATAAAATATTCCCGAAAGCACCCGAAGTAGGCAACCCAAAGTTTAAATTCAGATTCGAGCACTTCGCTCAAGTGATATACAAGATAAGTTCGGGGGTTTACCAATGTTGCAAATGCAAACGGAGAATCTCCGGTGATTTCGACGACCCTGAGGATATCCTAGTTTTGTTCTGTGTCTTGGAACAGCGCCAGAAGATGGCCATGTTGTTTTGGGAACGTAGCAGCACTCCGACCATGTTGGCACTGGTGGCTTGTCATATCTACAAATGGATGGCGGAAAAAGAGTCTTCTTACATAGAAATTACCCCCGAAATGAAGCCTGTTATCCTTCAATATGCCAGGTAAGGTTTGTCTTCTTACACCACTATCAGCTATTAACCTAGTAACCAGCTAGTAACCTAGAAACCAGTTAGTAAACTAGTAACCTAGTAACCAGCTAGTAACCTAGTGACCAGCTAGTAACCTAGTAACCAGCTAGTAACCAGCTAGTAACCTAGTAACCCGCTACTATTGTTTACAGTGAGTTTGAGACACTAGCCTGGAAGATAGTAGACGAAGTGTCTCACCACTATCCTACCAAGTGGATATCTTCTCTAATTACCCACAATTACTACAACTGGGGCGGCAAGAATTTGTTGCAGGTTTGAAAGTTAACTTGTACATATAGCGATAATTTATCGTTTTTTAATTCATTTTTTGTTTAATAATTAATAACCTTTCGCCAGCCCACACTTTACATAGTTAGATTATTCAGTCAGTTGTGGGAGTAAAGTATATAAAAGGTCGTCTATGAAAGTAAATACAATTCCCGACATGTCGCTTTATTTGGTTCAGTCTTGGTTTCATCTTAGGACTTGCCATTCAAACTATCTGTCATAATCTGACTCCCACAGAGATAAGATTACGTCACCAAATAAAATATGTTTAATTCAGAGAGATTATTAGGTTCAAGATGAATCATTAATTTGTGAGAAGAAACTGAAAAAATTAAGCGCAGTATTGACCTTTTTGAATTTAAACCAAATAAAAACACGTTAGCTCATATTTCATTTAATATCTACTACTACAAATATTAAAACTTTATACAATCTATGATATCAATAACTGAAATTAACTCTCAATTGGGACAGGATCTTTAATAAGTAAGTAATTATCCAAATTCTGTTATACTTCTTTGTAAGGACGAAAAAGGTGCTCTTTAGTCCATCACAAGGTGTCGAGTCTCCGTGCTTATTTAGTTGAGGCTCCAGCCTAGACGACAGACCGATGGATTTTAGGAAGAGGCAATTAATGTAGGAGTTTTGGTTAATGACCTTTAATTTCAATAATAGTTCAATTCGCAAGTTCATTCATAATTTAGTTGTAATGACCGGATTCGGTCTTATTTTAGACTTGTTTTGTCTAAGATCAAGCTATCTCTTAGACGAGCAAAAAAGCAACCCAAGAAAACCTGGTATAATTGGGGAGCACTTAAATCGGATGAAGACCTACAGAAGAGATATGCAGTAGAAGTTAAGAATCGGTACTCTGCTTTATGCGAGCAAACCGATGAAAGTGAGGTTACGGAACTGTATGGGCATTTTGTTGATGCGATTGCTGATACCAACAAAGCCATACTGCCTAAGAGAGAAAAGAAGAGACGTGACGATTTCGCGGGTGATCAGCGAGTTCAAAGCGTGCGTACAGCCTTGCAGCAAGCAGAGACTGTCTATCACCGGGATCCTAGTGAAGACAGTCGACTGTCTGTTAAGCTACTAAAAACTGAACTGGATCAGGTGTACCAGGACATCTTTGAAGAAGATCTAGTTGCCAAGGTTAGAAGGGTCGAAATGGCTGCAGACAGATGCAAAAACAAAGAAAGTTGGAATGTCATAAATGAGATAACTGGCAGGAAGGCCAAGGGGGCAACTCAAATAAGGGGCAACGGAGCCGAAGAAAGGAAGAAAAATTGGCTTGGGCATTTCACGAATCTGTTAGGGAGTATACCGGATGTGGAAAACGAGCATCCTAGGATCGAGACTCAATTTGAAGGACTCAACATCAGTACAGAACCTTTTACTGTGGATGAGCTTAAAGCTGCTAAACACAGGATAAAAGAAGGTAAAGCACCAGGTGATGACGGCATACCACCTGAAGTCCTCAAAAGATGCGACCTGGATGAAATCTTGCTGTCCTTCTGCAACAAAGCCCTGACAGATGGTATTGCACCAGATCAGTGGAGGATAAGTAACATCATCCCGGTTCCCAAAAAGGGAGACTTGACCAACCCTGGAAACTGGAGGGGGATATCTTTGACTTCTCTCGTAGCTAAGACTCTTAATAGAATGGTGCTTAATAGGATCCAGCCGGCTATAGAGGGGGTACTTAGGGACACTCAGAATGGTTTTCGGGAAGGACGGTCCACTACTAGTCACATCTTGGCACTCAGAAGGATTCTAGAGGGGGCTAGACAGAGAAATTTACCGGTAGCTATGGTGTTTGTTGATTTTAAGAAGGCCTTTGATTCACTTCACCGGGGAATTTTGATGCAAATACTAAAGGCCTATGGAATACCGAACAGTATTGTAGATATCATTAATCTTCTCTATGTCAACACGAAGGGCAAAGTTATAACACCAGATGGGGATACCGAGCTATTTGATAT